ATGTCCTCCAGGTTGCTGACCGCTTCGTAGCCCCCGTCTGGTTGCTTGCGCAGGCGGGCGATGGTGGCGGCGCGGGGCAAGGGGCCAAAGCGCTGGCTCAGCACTGTCTCCAGCACCTCAGGAGCTGGGGTGGGCAGCACATCCCCCACTGGCCACCCCTCCATTCTGCTGGCCTCCCCCATACCTGGGGAAAGGACAAATCCTGCACTCCAGGCCCACCCCACTGCACTGAAGAGAAAACACCAAAAAAAGGGCCTTAAATACCCCTGAGCCCAATGAGGTGCAGGTGAGGCCAAGCTCAGCCTAACGAGCTGGGCAGGTGCAGGGATGGGTGGAGGAAATTAGGCCGTGCCTCAGTTTCCCCACTCAGGGCCAAGCCCCCAAAGGTGGTAGCCACAAAGCCTTGACCCAAAAAGGGACCCAAAACCATCCCTGGGAGCATGGGGGGGGACAAGGCCTGGTGCACCAGGGATGAACATCGCCCCTCAGGGAGAAACAGGGGTTTGGGTGGCTTCATGTGGGCCTAAAAATGTGGGAAATGCTTTTGGGTGGGGAAAATCAAAATGTGAGGGGTTTGACGCTGGCGAGGGTGGTTTCGGTAGATGGCAGTGTTAGTCCCTGCATGCTGGAAACCTCGGGGCAGCCGCAAAAAGGGGAAAAATGGCCTTTTTCCCACCAAAACCTGAGGTCACCCTGGGTTATCACTGAGGGGGGAGCTTCGTCCCAGCCCCGGGGCGGTTTCCCTCTCCCAAAACCTTCCCCTTTGGTGCTTTTGGGGTGAAAAGCCCTCCAAAGCGGATCACCCTGCTTTTCCTGGGGAGTTTGGGGGCTTCTGGTGAGAGTGGGTGCCCCATGGGGTGCGGGGGGGACGGACGTGTTCTCCCGTGCAGGGCTGCAGCTGGCGTGCCTCAGTTTCCCCAGACCTGAAAGTACCCTGGGGGTGTGAAACCCCCTCTGGGCTGCACAGGGTCCTGCCATTTCATTCCTCATCCAGAGAGATAGAGAAAGGCTGGAGGAAAAATTGCAAAAAAAATCCCGAAATGAGCCCAAAAATGAGCTTTGGAGACACCTGGAAAGCAAATTTTTTTACTAAAAGGCAGGTTTTTAACTAAAACCTCAGAAACCCCAAATTTCTCCTCTTTAATGCTCCCTAATGAGCTTCCCTATCCTGCAGCCGGATCTGGATAATCACATTATTCCTGCCCCAGGCTGGGAGGAGCAGATCCTACAAATTAATCCAAGGGCAGGTGGGTTTAAAGACACCTCCCCCTCCCCCCAGAAAAACCCAAACCAACCCTATTCACACCTGCTCATTTTTATTGGGGGGGCTGAAACTCACCCCCTTCCTGCAGCTGGGGTTTGTGCCCCTCCCCTTGCATTAAAACTGAGGACACATGTCCTGGTTTGGCTGTTTTGTGGGTTAAAAATTGGAACTGAGGGGAGGCGTCATGGGGCGAGTGATGGAGGGGTCTGGGGGGTCCCTTGTGCAAATAGGATTTGAAGGAGTCTCACCCTGATGGGAAGCAAATGGACCTGGGGGATGAAATATTTAAGGGTCATAGTTATCAGGAACCATGTTTTTTAGGGATCACACTTATTAGGGGTCATAGTTATTAGGGGTCAGAGTTATTAGGGACCATAATTTTAGGGGTTGTGGTTCTTTGGGTCATGTTTATTAGGGACCATGGTCTGTTAGGGGTCACTGTTATCAGGGACTGTGTTTTTTAGGGGCCACTGTTATTTGGGATCATGGTAATTAGGGGCTATGGTTTTAGGGGTCACAGTTGTTTGGGGCCATGGTTATTAGGGACCGTGTTTTTAGGGGGTCACAGTTGTTTGGGACCATGGTAATTAGGGACCATGTTTTTAGGGGTCACAGTTATTTGGGGTCATGATTATTAGGGACCATGTTTTTAGGGGCCACAGTTATTTGGGGTCATGGGTATTAGGGACCATGTTTTTTAGGGGTCACAGTTATTAGGGGTCGCAGTTATTAGGGCTCAGAGTTATCAGCCCCCACTCGCAGCAAGCACAGGGAAGCACTCGCAGCAATGAGGGCACTGCAAAGCCAGACAGGGTTTTATTTGCTTTTTAAAAAATTTATCATCTTTTTCTTTCCTTTCTTTTTTTTTTTCCTCCCTCATTTTTGGCCTCTGCCGTCTCAATGCACCACGCACGTGGCTGGGACGCAGCCCTTAAAAATAGCAGAGCAGCATGGAAAAGCCGGGAAAGGGCAGAGCTCCTCCGGCAGCGGAGCCTCTCTGGTGCAGTCAGAAAACGGCTCCAGTCACCCCAACCCGGGTTTAAAGCATCTTTTTTTGGGGGGGATTCACCCCAATTTCCCCCCTGCCGGAGTCACAGCCTGCTCTGCTCCAGGCCAAGCATCCTTGGTGCTGGAGGATTGGGGGGCATTCAGGATGAATTCCCAGAAAGCAGCATCCTGGGGCTGGTTTGCCCATGGGGAATGCTCCGGGTTGAGGCTGTTTTCCACCCGTTCACACTCAACAATGCCATTTATCCCTTTCATTTTCCCCATTCCAAGCGTGGCCGGAGCAAAAGCTGGGCTTGGGTCCCCATCAGCTGCAGAGTCCCTGATGCTCCTCAAATCTGGGTGTCTCCATCCCATCTGATTCATCACCGCTCCATCGAGATCTGACATTTGCCATCATCACGAGACTGGAAAAATGAGCGGTCGGTTTCCGATTCCTGGGGGAAGGTCAGGGGAGGAGGTTGGTGCCAGGGCTGCAGCATGGCCGGATCCTGGCGCAGGACAGCTGTCGACACGCGATTAAACCTGATATTTCTTGGCATGGCCCCGAATGTCTTGGAGGGAACTGGTCCCTGCTGGAGTCGCCGGCCTTGTGCCGACTCTGTGCTGCTGGGAGTGCCCAGGATGGGCTGGGCTGAGGGCAATGGTGTGGGGTTCAACCAGACCAAGGTCACTGGGGTCACCACAACCCCATGGACGCTGCAGGCGTGGGGAGGAGCGGCTGAGAGCTGCTGGGCACAGGGAACTGGGGGAACTGGGCAGCACGAGCCAGCAGTGGGCCCAGGCGGCCAAGGAGGCCAACGCCATCCTGGGCTGTCCCAGCACTGGTGTGGGCAGCAGGAGCAGGGCAGGGATCATCCCCTGTGCTGGGCACTGCTGAGGCCGCCCCTGGCATCCTGGGGTCAGTTTTGGGCCCCTGACTCCCAGAAGGACATTTTGGGGCTGCAGCGTGGGCAGAGAAGGGCAAGGGAGCTGGGGAGGGGTCTGGAGCATCCGAATGCTGGGGAGCGGCTGAGGGAGCTGGGGGGTTCAAGTGGAGAAGAGGAGGGGAGGGGAGACCTGATCCCCTCTGCAGCTCCTGCCAGGAGGGGGTAGCGAGGGGGGGCGGTCTCTGCTCCCCAGGGATGAGGGGAAACGGCCTCAAGTTGTGCCAGGGGAGGGTGAGGTTGGATTTTGGGACGAATTTCGTTACTGAAAGGGTTCTCGGGGCCTGGCAGGGGCTGCCCAGGGCAGTGGTGGAGTCCCCATCCCTGGAGGGGTTCAAGAAGCTCCTGGATATGGCACTTGGGGCCATGGTTTAGTGGCCATGGTGGGATTTGGTTAATGGTTGGACTGGATGATCTCAGACATCTCTTTCAACATTAATGGCTCTGTGGATCCTGCCCATCCCTCCTCCTCCTCCTCCTCATGCTCTCCCCAGGTGCTCGCTCTCCCAGGCAGCTGCGCTCATGAATTTGTGGCATTGTTCACAGCCAGGATTTGTCACCGGGATAACACCAAATCAGCAGGGCTCGGCATTGAGACCACCCTGTGATGGGTCTCACAGCCACCAGGGTGGTAAATGGGGGAGAACCGGTTGCCATGCAGCCTGCGAAGCCTCCTTGAAAGCCTTTATTCTGTCATTAAAGCCATAAAATCTCCTCTCTCACTGCCGGTGATACCGATATCTGTGTTTCCCGAACGCCTTATCTTAGCAAACACTGCCGTGCTCTGGCAATGGGCACAGAGCTCCATCTTGGCCTGGGTTTCCCGGCTTGCCCAGCTGTCGGAGCTGGAAATTTGCTGGTGTATTTGCGAGGGCAGGTCTGGAGGCTGAGTTCACACCTGGCCACGGTGTTGACATTGCGGGAGTCGCAGCCGGGCAAGTCCCCAGTGCCGTGCCCGGGTGCTGGGGGGCATCGCGTCCTGTCCCTGTCCCCACCCTCTGCTCCATCACCTCTTTATAAAGAGGTTTAATGAAAAGCAGGAGGTGCTGTGCTGTGGTTCCTGGCCACCCACCGAGGTCCCTGGGGGGTCCCACGCAGGGCTCCCCCCCTCCATGTGCTGAATTATCCATGGGGATGGACAATAACGGGATTTATTGGCCGGGTTCGTGATGAGGATTTTGGCAGGGACAGTGCGGGGTGGGAACGACCGGGCCATGGGGCTCAGCAGCGCTTGGCTCCTGTCAACCGACTCTTCTTAATTACAGCAGGAAATTAAACAGTCCTGGCTTGGTTAGATAAAAATAATAATTAAATTCCTACAGGGAGCGGGTAGTGGGGAGCAAATCCTGCTGGGACACCCAGCCTTGCTGGCTCCCCTCCCATCTCCCACCACCCACAGTCCATTTAATTCCCCCTTTCCCGGAGATTCCCAGCGCGGACGTGCTGGGAGGTGACGTTTCCCCCACGCCGGCAGCAATGGGAGCGGGGAGGGAACAAAGGCGGCTCTGTCCTCCCCGGCTCCAAGAAGACTTTTTGTCAAAGGGGGAGGGAGGATCCCAGCCTGCAGCAGCCGGAGCCGTCCCCGTCCAAGCGCAGAGGAATTTGGGGGGATAAAAGAAGTTTCCGTCAGCGTTGCCAAACCCCCTGGCACGGGGCAGGTGGGTGCTGGGGGGGCTCATGGCCCAGCTGTGGGGGTCTGGTGGCTGCTGGCCCAGGTTGGGTCACCCTGGGCTGTCACTGTTGGCCACGTGGCCTGGGGTTGAGGTGGGGACAGGGACTGAGAGAGGAATGGGGATAGAGACAGTGAAGGAGACCAGGATGGGGACAGGGATGGGACGGGGACAGGGACCAAGACGGGGACAGGGGTGGGATGGGATGGGGACCAAGATGGGGTGGGATGGGATAGGGTCAGGAACCAGGATGGAGATGGGGATGGGGACAAGGATGGGGACAGGGATTGGGATGGGGATGAGAGGGGACAGGGACT